CGATTCGTTAGACCATGCACGAAGGTTTACCGCATATAATGTCAACGGCTTCAAGTTCTGTACGGTTGGACATGATCGAGGATTGCTTACACAAAACTCTAGAGTTTGGGAGACATTCGAGATGAGATGTTATGCTAGCAGCAGTGACAGCATATGCGCTTTGGAGGCGTCACTTACTATGGAAAACTAATTGACATCATTGAGTTGAGTTACCGGCTTTTCACCGTAACTCTATTCAAGTGCTCCTAGGCAAATACGACAACTCCACAGGGACTCACTACTGACCACTTAGGCATCACCTCTGTTAATTTCTCAAGACTTATTCATACGGGCGAATCTGAAGATGATGAGCCATATATTCTTACTTCCGAGGCACACCAGGTTTATTATGTTAAGGACGAGAAACATAAAGACTGGAATATGGTCGTTCACCTCAAGTCACGGGATCTTTATGATATGGGTGATGGTGACATTATTTACGACAGCGAACCCTTCCAACCCTTGAATTTTGAAAACTTCTTCTTCAAAGAGACGATAATTTGGCAATTATCAGGTATATGTCTTTTCTTAAATTATTTAAATAATTAACTACTAATTACTAATTTTTTCTAAATATATTATAATTCTAACATAATTTTTTTAAATATCTCTTTGCAAGCAGGATGATGATCAAGAATAGCAATTTTAAAAATTTTTATCATTCAAAAATTTGCCTTTCATAAATAAATATGTATAAATTAAAATTGGTTCAGTTTTTTAAAAAGTAAAAAATTACAATTTCTAGCGGTTACATAACCGCTACAAATACTAGCGGTTTTATAATATGCCAGAAAATGTAAGGCCACTACAAAATGAATAAAATGCTGCAAAAAAACCATTACAAATGTCTCGCTGATCTCTATAAATATCACATCACCTCTTCATTCATTTACCACATCTCTTTTCCTTCCTCTCCCATTCTTCTTTATAATTCTCTCTTTTTTTTCTTATTCTCTGATGTGGTGGTTTTTTTCTCTTCATTATATGGCAAGGTGATTATTATTTTATAAGTATTAATATCTTTTATTTGTTTTTATTTATAATTTACTAATATATTTATTTCTCTTTTTCTTTCAGATTTTTCTTCTTCACATTTGTCATACCTTCGTCAACTGATTCAAACACTTCTCAATATAACAGTTTAGGTTTAATATTATAAACTATCTCATCTTTAATTCATCTATCTTATTAAATTTAATTCACTTCATTTGACACAATCATAACTTAATTACTTATTATTCATTATAAAATTCAAATGTATAACATGTAATACATTAGTAATTATACATATTAACAAAAATTCTCTAATATAATCTACTTAATGGTTTTTAAATTTATAATATTATATTTTTTAATAATCAAACATCTCAATTTATTTTTTTGCCTAGAATAAACTTTCTAGCGGTTTGAAAACCGCTAGAAAATGAAAAAAAGAGAGACAAATTTCGTACAATTTAAATATCTGCCACATTTCTAGCGGTTAATAACCGCTAGAAATGTTTTGACGCCAATTACAAAATTTTGATTTCCGGCAAAATTTGATTTCCTCTGAATTTTCTAGTGGTTAATAATCGCTAGAAAATTATGGCGCCAAAATGAAAATTTTTGTTTCCCGACAAAATGAAATTTCACTCAGAATTTTCTAGCGGTTAATTAACCGCTATAAATTTTTCAGATATTTCTGGCGGTTCATAGCCGTGAGAAATTTCCACTTCCGCTACTTGTTTTTTCTAGCGCTTATTTTAACCGCTAGAAATTTTCTAGTGTTTTGACCACACTATGTAGCAGTTCACGTAACCGCTAAACATTCCTTTCTAGCACTTGATTTTCCAGCGGTTTGTGCAACCGCTAGAAAAGTCATATTTTAATGGCTACAAAATACATGTGTTTTTTTGTAGTGAATATGGCAAGTGAGCTATCAATTCTTAACTCAATTATCATGTGTAGAACTTGTGCCAATATATGGAATAAGGACCCATGTTTGGCCCAGAGGATGACTCGCTTTTGTACTTACAAACCTAACATATTTAATAGCAAGTGTGGAAAAGCAATGTAAGTAAATGATCTTGACTAATGCTTATTAATTTTATGCTTTGATAATGAGTTCTTTTAATTTTCCTTTGTAGGTTTCTTAGATCCTACACAGTAGATGAGTCATGCACACTAATCAAATGACTGAGCCACCTAATCAAATATTTGAATATCTTAGATTGGCTGGATTTTAGGGTGTTGATCGAGTAGGATAATTTGATTATGATTGGAGTTTGGCCTCAACCCTTATTGAGGGGTGGTATCCTAAGACTCACACATTTCATACTCCACGTGGAGAGTATATGATAACATTAGAAGATGTTGCTATACAATTAAGCATTAACCCATGCGTAGGAATACCTATCATTGAAAAAATTGACTTTAATTGGCCAGATGTTTGTGAATGGCTTCTAGGTATTAGATCACTTGCAGATAGAATACATGGACAATGACTACTTATGAGTTGGTTGGAAGATCACTTTAATCACTTACTCGATCATGCAAACAATGTCCAAGTTCAACAATTCACTCATGCATGCATCGTCCGGCTGATAATGTTAGATGAAAAAAAATATAAGACAAAACCCTTGTCCAAAAGCCACATCCTTTTGCCAATATAGGAGTTTCCTTGACAAAATGACCAATGACGTGATAATTTGGCAACCATATGAATATTTGTGTTAATTGATTCTAAAGTATTGCTTGCTAATGACGAGATAATATTTGCACATGCATTTTGATGTGAATAATAAAAGAAATAATAAAATACACTGATTACTCTTCTATATTTTATCTCAATTATAAAAATCTCCCTTTTATTTTGAAAATGTATATAAACCTCATTTACAGTTAAAACATGTGTTATACAAACCTCCCAACCTCTCTCTTATATTTAAGATTTTATTTCCATCCACCCAAATCATTAGTTGATCATTAAGTTTGACTTTAAATTATTTTTTGAGCAAAATACCCCTTTTAAAATTAATAATTATTTAGACAATTATATTTTTCAAAAAATATTTTTATAAAATTGAAAAATAAATATATTTAAAATTTGTAATATGTTATAAAATTTACTAATTTTGATCTAAATCATAACATTTTCTAATTTTAATATTTTATCATATTTATTAAAATTTATTTTTCTTTTAAATTGTAAAAACATATTTTAAATATATAGCTTTTGTTTATCGTAAAATTTAAATGATATAGGTTTAAAAGATTTTATAAATTATTTGAATTTATAATTCAAAACTTTTAAACAAATCTTTATTGCAAAAATTTATAAACTTATTTAGTTAAGTATATATAAATTTATTAAAAAAATTAGTTAAATTTTTAATCAAATCTTTTATGTTTACCTTAACTAAATGAAATTGATATGATTGTAAACATATAATTTAAGAATTTATTAGAATGAGGAGTAAAACAGTAAATAAATTTTATTTTAATATAAATTTTAGTTAAAAATAATCTTTTTAGAATACTCCTAACAATGTTATCTGATTGGACTAAACTGTATATTTTTAAAATAGAGGGGAGATCTATGTAATTGATACAAATTAAAAGGATAGTCAAAATATTTTACTCTAAAGAAAAAGATGACCTGCCATGCATGTGATTGAACTGGTCCATGTTGTTAGGGAATAAAGCAACGCATTTAAAAGAAATGAGATACGAGTATTTATTTATTGATGTCACCGTACCCTTGGATGCTAGAAATTACGTCATTTTCATTTTATACATATATATTATCTGTATTTGAAGACACATTAGAATTTGCCAAACTAAATTCATGGAGCCTGCGTCTCAGATCATATGTCCACTCATCTGCCCCTATTTACTTCGCAGGAAAAAAAAATCTCGGCTGCATTCATAAAAAACCGAAGGTTTTTTAATAAACAAGACGTTGTTCAGGTAGCACTCTTGAGAAGCCAAATGAAGAAGGTACTCTCACTAATCTTCCTCACGTGGATGGCTCTACTGGTCCTTACAAATCTGAGCAAGGCGACTTCAGAGAACGTCAACAACAGCTTCATCATCGCCCCCTGCCGCGGCAGCTCAACTGACTGCCTCGTCGACGATGAAATTGACAACGTCGATGAGTCGTTGATGAATTCTCATGTAGCCAGAATGCTTTATGATAATTCAAAGTCTAAGACTGGAAATACTGGGAACAAGAATAAGCATGTTGTGCCTTGTCCTCCAAATACCAGATACACAGGTACAAGCTGCCTTCCACAACCAAGTGTAGGCGATAAGAAAGAAAGATGCGGTATTTACAAACGATCAAGCTGTTGAGAAATTGCTCAGCTTTTTATGGTTGATCAATTATTTTAAATTTAAATGTGTTGTGAGGGAGTTTGTTAATTTGCAGTGCGTTTTACTTCTTATGGTTTTAATTCCTTTCTTCTTCGGTATATGTGGGTCCGTATCGCTTAATTATATGAATTCCCAGTCTCAGTCTCCCTATGTTTGCTTCGAGCCTTCGACAGGTCACTTTCATCTTTAATCCTAACTTTTTGGTGACAATTCAGTGAAGTCTCGTTAATAAATTTCTTAATCTTTGGTTGACCATATAATTCTCTCTTCTATGACTGCTTTATTCTCTCCTGTGTGAGTACCTACTTTTATTTTTTATTTTTTGGCCAAAACAAAGTCAATTTTATTAACCACCAAAAAAAGCAATTACAAACACCAATAGCCAACTGGCCGACTAGACAAAACAAAACACAAAGACCTAAAGTACAACCTATCAAAATAAAAGACAGAAAAAGCAGACAAAGAGAAGGCAAGAAAAAAAGAAAGTCAACCAATACCACACCTATTGAACCTAGAGTCCCCAGAAGACGCCAACCGAGCCAAATCCTTACGCTGGTTTTCAGAAAATTCAGCAGTCTTGAACTTCCTCCAAAGTAACAAATCGTTGGCTAAATGCTAGCTAGAGGAGGTGATGGTGAATTCACCCACCCAATTGGGCTCACACTCCTACCACAACTCACAGCAATAAAGTCTGCTGCCAAATTACTCTTCCTAGAAATCAGAGTAACAGAAACATACCTCAGATTCTTCAAGACTTCAATAACCTCCTGAATTTCCCAGCGTCCTCTCCAATCAATTCCATCAGCTGAAACCTTCAAGCAACACCAGAAAACCTTTGCACAATCAGTTTCAATTACCACTTTATTATAGCTCATATCAGAGATCAGTATTAAGGCTTTCCTCAGTGCCAAAATCTCTGCAATAACCGCAACATCAGCTTGCACCTTTTCCCCAAAACCCCACAAAAAGTTTCCTTCACTGTCTCTACAAATCATCCCAATAGCAGCGATACCATCCTTAAAAGAACCATCATAGTTAACTTTAACACAGCCTAGTTCAGGTGCCATCCACCCCACGTTTTGTCTTTCTTTTACACCTTCCCCTTCCTTCTCTGCCTCCAATTCCCTTACCCTCCAGAACTCATCCACCATCTTTCCAGCTATCTCAATTATCACATATGGGTCAGGCACCTTTCCTCCATAGACTGCTCTATTCCTTTCTTTCCAAATCAACCACATAACCCACACAAAATAGGAACTCTACTTCTCATCAAGCACTTGGTCATCAACCAGGACATTCTTCCACCACTCAGCCAGACTTCTCAAATTTCCAGAATCAAAATGAAGGTTGAGTCTACATCCAAACCAGACACTTCTAGCCCACGGGCAAAGAAAAATGGCATGCTCAATCGATTCGGTCTCCTAGTCACAAATTTGACAAAGCACAGAACCACAACATTTCCTTGTAAATAACCGTTCTCTAACTGGGACAGCCTTAACAAAGCAGCGCCATAGAAAATGAGAAATTTTAGGAGTAACTTTTACCTTCCAGATTTGGTTCCATATTTGCTTAGAAACCATATCTGAAGTACCAGCTCTTCCATTTCTGCACCTCCTTAGTTCTTTAAACCTGTGGTATCCTTTCTTTGTAGCATACCTACCATTTCTTGCTACACTCCACATCACTTCATCTTTTCTTTCCACTGAAGGAATGCACATGCTCTCAATCTTGTGAATCACCTCATCTGGGACTAAGCCATCCAGTCTCTCTACAGCCCACCTTCCATTTTGGATAATATCAGCTACACACCAATCTGTCTTATCTTCAGGAACTTGAGCTAGGTCTGCCAGTACTTTATCTTCACCTTTCAACCACTTATCTTTCCAGAGCCTGACATTTCGACCATTTCCAATTCACCAAAACAAGTCTTGTAACAAATTATCTCTCCCTTCCAAAATGCTATACCAGATCCATGAAGCTCTACCACCCTTCTTAGCTTCAACAAAGTTTGTTTCAAGAAAATAGATTCCTCTCAGGACCTGTACCCATAACTCATTCAGGCTATTCAAGACTCTCCATGCTGTTTTTGCTAAAAGGGCTTCATTAACCACCTCAAATTGTCGAAATCCTAGTCCTCCTTCCTTCTTCGCCAAAGTCATCTCATCCCAAGCTTTCCAATGAATTTTCCTCCCTTCCTCTGAGCCATTCCACCAGAATTTTGCTACTAACGCATCAAGCTCCTTACAGACTTTCTTTGGGAATTTAAAACAATTCATTGGAAATAAAGGGACTGCCCTAATAACAGCTTTTATCGTTATTTCTCTACCAGCTGGAGACAACAATTTTCCACTCCAACCTGCTACTTTTTTGCCAATCCTCTCTTTTACAAACGCTAGGACTTGACTTTTAGACTTTCCCCAAACATTTGGAATCCCAAGATATTTTCCAGCGTCATCCATATCATCAATGCCCAGGATATTACAAACTCTGTTCTTGGTCACAGAATTCGTGTTTCTGGAAAAGAAGATTCTGGATTTGGTAAGGTTCACCATTTGCCCTGAAGCTTCACAATAATCCTGTAAAGTTTTTGCCAAATTCCTGCAATTATTGTCATCAGCATTCATAAAAATCAGAACATCATCTGTAAAAAAGCTATGAGAGAGGGTTGGACATTGACTGGTAATCTTGATCCCCTTTAGCACACCATCATCCACATTTCTACTAATCATTCTTGAGAGCATTTCCACCACCAGAATGAAAAGGTAAGGAGATAACGGATCTCCCTGCCTCAGACCTCTCTCTGGGATAACTTCAGCAACCTTTCTTCCTGACAGACACAGGTTCAGCTTCACGGTGGAGATGCAATTGATAATTAACTTTACCCATTTTTTGTGAAACCAAACTTCAATAGGATAGCCTCGACAAAATCCCATTCCACCCTATCATAAGTTTTGCTCATGTCCATTTTCAAAGCAAACTCACTCCTTGACCCCTTCTTTCTTCTTCTCAAATAATAGAACACTTCATGAGCAACAATGATGTTGTCATGGATTAAGCATCCCGAGACAAAAGCACCTTGACTAATTGAAATACAAATATTCAACCAACATTTTAGCCTATTAGCAAGTACTTCCGAGATCACCTTATACACAAAGTTACATAGCCCAATAGGTCTAAACTGACTGACCTCCTCAAGCTTGTCAATTTTTGGTATTAACGTGACATTGGTCCAGTTTAACTCACCAATATCTCCTCTTCCTTCAAAAAATTCACAAACCAATCTCCACAAATCTTCCTTTACCACTTGCCATGAGGATTGGTAGAATTTTCCACAAAAGCCATCAGGCCCAGGGGCTTTGTAACCACCAAGTTGAAATACCGCATCATGAACTTCTAATCTACTAACAGCAGCCAAAAGACACTCATTTATACTATCTGTTATACAGCAGTCCACAAACGGTAGCACTTTATCAAAGCATCTTTTACCTGAAGATTTAAACAAATCTTTGTAATAATTGACAAAGCAATTAGAAATAGAACCTTCTTCTTCCATCCAAAGACCATCTTTATTTTTTATTTTCAAAACATAGTTCCTCTGTCTCCTCATAATTGTGGATACATGAAAGAACCGTGAATTCATATCACCATGTCGCAACCAGGAGACCCGTTACCTCTGTCACCAATACATTTCTTCATTATGCCACACCTTCTCCAGCTCATTCTCAATTTCTCCTATCCTCCTAACAACCTCATTTGTAAAAATCAAATCATAGCAATCAGATAGTTGGCTCATCAAATTATCAACCAACTTTTTATTATTAAGAAAAACCTGCTTACTCCAATTTATTAGCACCTTTCTACAATTGTCAAGTCTTCCAATAATTTCCCCAATTACACTCCTCCTTGCAGTTAGGCCCATACACCACCCTTTTTCAACTATACTATTATAATCAGGGTGTTCTGTCCACATAATTTCAAATTTGAAACATTGGACTGCTTTAAGACCATCATACCTCAAATCCACCAGTACACGAGTATGGTCAGAACCCACAGGTTCTAAATGGAAAACTTGAGCTTTCAAGAATTGTTCTCTAAAATCAACATTTCCAAAAGCTCTATCAATCCTTTCTTTGATATTATCTTCTAATCTTCTTTTATTACACCAAGTATATCTCAATCCTTGGAAGCCAAGATCTATGAAACCGCAATCTGCAATGAAAGCTTGGAAACCCATAATCCTTTTTATCGATCTTGGGTTACCCCCTCTCTTCTCTTCACGCGAGGCAAGATCATTAAAGTCTCCAAAACACATCCAAGACCCATCTATCTCATTCACGAATTCCTTAATCTTCCTCCAAACCCTCTCTCTTTCCGTATCAACATTCGGCCCATAGACAAACGTGATAAAATTAGGCACTTCAATGCTTCCTGAAATCACATGAGTATGAACAATATTTTTGGTACTATACAAAATTTCTAATTTTATCTCCTTACACCACCACAAACACAGCCCTCCACTTCTCCCAACTGGATTAACCACAAACATATTATCCCTCCTACACTGCCTTCGCAGCCTATCCAACTTCTCTTCTTTTTATTTTGTTTCCATAATAAAGATGATTGAGGGTTTTTTACTTCTGGTAATATTTTTTAAATTTTGCACTATCAAAGGAACCCCCAAACCTTGACAGTTCCAAGAGAGAACACTCATTTGGCTTTGGTGACTGTTAAAGGCCAGTCACCTTCACCCTCAGCTATCCTCAAACTTCCACTCCTAGCCTCCTGAGCTTCCTTTCCTTCATCACTTAGAATTTTGTTTTCTAAGTTTGCTCTTCCTTCTTCTCTTATCTTCAAACTAGTTCCACCTCTCCTCATCAACTTCTTAGGGATCCTACCCCCTCTTCTACCACCTGATCTTTGCACAGGCTTTGGAGCAACTTCCTCTTGTTTTTGTTCATCAAAACACAACTTTCTTTTCTTGGCACATCTTTCCTCTTCCTCCTCTTCACATAGGGACCTCTTCAAACCAACCCTCCTTAGTCTAGCCATCATTTCAGACATAGGAGATACACTGCCATATAGGACTATGGCTTTAGCAATGTTCTCTCTTGCATTCAATGGGCTGCCAACTGCCTCCCCACCCTTGTCAACCTTTTTTGATTCCTTTTCTGACTTAGGACTGGCCTGCTTCATAGTTTTGGAACCAGGACTACTATTGTCAATCTCCTTCTCCCCCACACCTTTCTCCCCACCAAACGCTTCTGGTTCTGTTGAGGCCTCATTGTCAGTTGGATTCATCTTCTAGCTCAGCACCTCTGTCCATTCCAGTTTCTTACTTGCCTCTTCTTTTTTCTTTAGAGACAGACCTTCAATCTCCACCCAATCCTCCTTACAAACCACAAGAATATCATCCATTCTTCTTGCCGCCTGTACCCCCAACCAATTGCCATATTTTGCCATCGTCTAACCTTCCTTGTTACAATTGTAAGAACAATTCCTCAAGTCATGACCTACTCTTCCACAAGCATAACACAGATTTTGTAGTCTCTCGTATTTGACCTTTATCCTAATCGGATCCTTTTTAGGTCGCGGAGTCCAAAGGCCAGATACCAAAGGCTTTCTCAAATCAATCAGCACACGAGCCCTCAAGAAACTTCGATGTAACAATCCATTCCTTCTAGGATCCTCTACTATCAAAACCTCACCAATTTTAGAACCAAGTCTAATCGCATTATCTACATCCATTACCGCCAGAGGAAGGTCTTGAAATTGTATCCAGAAAGGACACTAATCAAAACATACCTCACTGTAGACCATGTCCTCCTCCCACGGCTAAAGATTCAGAAGCCATCCATTAATTGACCACAGTTGACCTCGTAGAATTCGTCTATATTCATCACTGCTTCTGATCTGGAAAACAAACGTCCTTCTATCCATCTCGACAATCTCCAAGTCTTCTTTCTTAGGTAGATTCCAACCTTTTCTTATCATTTGAACCATCGTAGCAGTGTTCAGGTTCTTTTCCATCATAATCCTGCCAATGAAGGCCCTGCCTCCCAATCTGCTTTCCTCCTTCTTGTTCCAAATAAGATCAACATCAATATCACTTTTCAATCTCTCCACACCTCTGCCCTCACTCGAATCCCTTACCTCCATCAAAACCTCACCGCCTCCTTCTCGCAATGTGCGATTCAGAGGCCACTCTATCAAACTCTGTCGCAATGGGCAACAAAGCACT